CTCGTTGTATACTACATAATGGAATTTTTATTCTGAAGAACATGTTCCAAATTAAAAGGGTGTTGCGAGCTGATTTCGCACATACTGTTGTAGGTTCATGAATGAATCGCAATAATATGTAAGTTGAGAATAAATCAACTATGTCCAAGAGCCGGCTGCAAATATCGCTGTCATCAGATAATGAAATGATATATGTCTCAAAGTCATGTGGAAACATTATTGTATTTTATCGAACGGCACCTGTGTCAATCACTATCCTGAGCAGAATGATGGAGAAATTGCACTTTCCTGTGCGGAAATTTGCACTCGATTCCACCATTTGATAACAAAATAAGAATTATGACATCTGATCATCCTATCATTCTGCTCAGGATGGTGATTGGCACAGGTGCCGTTCGATGAACTACAATGTTTTCTCAATCCTTCGGGCAGCCAGCTCTCCTTACTATAATGGGATCCATTCTGTGGACGTATAATACAGAATGATATTGAAAGAATGAACCAACGTTATTTTTGTTGATCTTGTATTGATTTTTTTTTATTTTTGCATCTCTTGGACCACACGAAAGGAAATTCCCATAATGTTTTGAGAACATCGTTCGTACCTAGGAAGTACAGAAAGAGGAGGTAGGTGTTCTTTTTCCAACTTCTAAATAATAAGTTCTTGGGAATACTTCCTTTGGGGATGAATTCCCATGCTTTGTCGTTATATAGACGACGATAATGTCGATAATACTGATAATATCGATAAAACCGAAAAAAAAAACGATTATATCAATTATATTGATTATAGCGATTATATCGATTGTATCGATTATATCGATTATATCGATAAGGTATATCGATTATATCGATTATATCGATTATATCGATTATATCGATTATATCGTTATATCGATTATATCGATTATATCGATTATATCGATTATATCGATTATATAGATTATATCGATTATATCGATTATATCGATTATATCGATTATATCGATTATATCGATTATATCGATTATATCGATTATATCGATTATATCGATTATATCGATTATATCGATTATATAGATTATATCGATTATATCGATTATATCGATTATATCGATTATATCGATTATATCGATTATATCGATTATATCGATTATATCGATTATATCGATTATATCGATTATATCGATTATATCGATTATATCGATTATATCGGTTATATCGATTATATCGGTTATATCGATTATATCGATTATATCGATTATATCGATTATATCGATTATATCGATTATATCGATTATATCGATTATATCGATTATATCGATTATATCGATTATATAGATTATATCGATTATATCGATTATATCGATTATATCGATTATATCGATTATATCGATTATATCGATTATATCGATTATATCGATTATATCGATTATATCGATTATATCGATTATATCGATTATATCGATTATATCGATTATATCGATTATATCGATTATATCGATTATATCGATTATATCGATTATATCGATTATATTGATTATATCGATTATATCGATTCTATCGATTATATTATCAGTTTTATAAGTAGATGTTCTGTTTTTCATCGAAGTGCGGCTCACAAGAGTAATGAATGAACTTTCTCATAGGAAATCCATCAGCCCGTTTCATTGATCGAATTGTACTGACTTTACCATTTTCGATGTCCTAATGGTATATCTTACCCATTTTCAAAGAAAGAGATCTGCGGATTTCGCGAATGTTGACTACTTTCTTGTGAAACTCATGATACCATAAACACAATTTGTCATAGTTCGCTTCGTTTCATAGATACAGTGCAAAATGCAAAATGTTGCCTCTTAGGACCACCTGTATCTGAACGTATAGAAATAGTAGAAGTTGTCTCTTGTTTACATTCTCCACGGAGGATCCAGTGGCATACTTAGTCAGATTTTCGAAACGAACTTTTCAGATAGATGCTTTGCGCTTTTCAAAACACATAACATTAAACTTATAATATTTATAGTATTTGCCTTGTATTTTGATAATTTCCAGTTTTAATCAGTATGTATATCTTATTGATGGGCCTTGGCAACATTTTCACGAATGTTCATATTTACCTTGTTGCTGACAGTATTTTCTCACATACTAGTTTCAATTTTATATTGATATACCAAATACACCAATATTCACCACAATTTATTGACTATAAAAGCTGTGATTCTAATAAGTATGTGGCAATGAAAAAAAGTGAGTGCAGAATGTTTTGAAATTTGTGTCAACTGACTACCTGTCGTTAGAATCAGTAATGGTTAATGATATTGATGGTTGGTTATCATTCGCCATTGTATGAAACAAGACAGGTAGTCAGGTGGAAAGAATTATAAAACATTCTGCACTCGCTTAGTGTGTGATGAAACAATGTGTCAACAACAAGGTGAATATGAAAGTGTGAAATTATCTGAAACTAAAAATTATCTATATACAAGGCTAATACCCAAAATGTCGTACTTATATAACTGTATTGAATTTTCGAAAAGCACAAAATATCATTATTCCAATTATTTTGGGATTTTCTCTCCTCGTCTCTATAAAATGAAAATATGAATTTTATTTCGATATACGTGTAGTGAGGACAAATCAGATGATTTGCCCCAAAATGTCACTGCGTTTGAAAAATTTTCCTATCAGAGAGCCTAAAAGAAAAAATTCACTACTCTCTCTGATAGGAAAATTCTTTAAACGCAGTGACATCTTGGGGCAAATCATCTAATTTGTCCTTACTATATACACGTGTATTGGAATAATATTCATATTTTTATTTTAAAGAAACGAAGAGAGAAAATTCCAAAAAATTTGGAATAATGAATGTTTCACCTCCGCGATTAACCTACAGGCAGTATTTCACAAAATATCAATTCATAAATATAAAAAATATACTGTGTTGTATTTGAAGAAATATAAATTCAGTTATATCTGAATAATGAATAACCAGAGCCAAAATTAATATTTTTTGACAAACCCCGTATAAGACTGAAAAACTTTGATATCTAATATTTGGGTGAACGATTTCAAGCCTGGCAAAGCTTTTCACGACGAATAACATGTTTTCCTGAAATTGATAAAGAACAAGTTTTGAATTTGTTGCCAACTGTTCCAGACTAAGGTTACGTTTCTCATATGATTATCAAATATACAGAGAAGTGCACGAAAAACGGACACAACTGTAACTTCTGAATCATTCGATTTCGGAATTTGAAAATATACTGAATTTCTCATCAATTGACAAGACAATTTTAGTTCGATCACTTCCTGTTTCAGCAGAAAGGAACCCAACTTTGTATCTTCAAATTGGACACACTGCGTTATATTCCATAATAGTTTAGGTATTATTATGACGAATTCAGTGATACCAGGTTTGATAGGGTTATTTCAAATGATCACGAAGGTATTTGATTCAGATTTCTCCATAAATGCTCAATAGTCGGGGCTTGTTTTGCGAAAATCCAAATCCTAGAAGCATTTCATGTAACAATTGGATAAATGACGTTTACCCCCTATGTCGACCCCGCTGAATCCAAAAATACCGTTTATCAAGTCGAAATTCCAACCGGAAGTGGAATATTCAAGATGGCGTCCAAAATACCCCTAAAATCTAATTATTTTCTACTTTTGGTCAACCATACGACTGAGGTGCCGATGTCTATGTTTTCGGGGGTGTAGAACACGATGGAACACTTGAAAAATGATTTGGAGCATTGAAAGTTCATCAAATGATCAAATTTGGACGAAATGGGCAAAAATTACAAAAAAAAAACTTGTGAAAACGTGTTGTATATGCTTGCATACGTTTTCGAGGGCGCTTAATACGTTTATGAGCTCAAAAAAGCATTCAACCATTGTCCAAACCTTTATTCCTTACATTTTGAAATGAAATAATTCACTATCAGTAGTCTTCTTTATCTTCTTCTACTCCATTCATGCACTTTGCCTTGCACTGGCACATCTTGGTGCACGGCACCCTCGGCGGCTTCCTGCACCCACACTGCTTCGTGCTGCAGATCCCCTTGCAGCCACAAGCTCCAAATTCGGGACATGACTTGGGAATAGGTGGCAAAGTCATCAAGATTGGGACATACCGTCCATTAACAATTTTCCAGCCGCATTTAATCGGGTCTGGTAAATCAGGATTCTGATCATGGGCGTTAATCCACACTAGTACCTGAAAAAAAAAAACATAATTAAATGAAAATCTCTCGATTTTTTCTGTTTTGTTCTTTTTTTCTTGTCAATTTTACCTGAAAGTGGCACCTAAGAATGTGTTGACGGAGGGCATCAGTGGTAGGTGGCAAAAACTCTAGCATTCGCACTGTCCCAAAAATTGCAACACGAGCTGCGTCTGCCGTTGTAATGTCCGGTCCAACCTGAAATAAAAATGGTATTACTATTGAAACGGCTAACAGTTTTTATCCACCATGTATCTTAGAGAAGGGATGCAACAAACCTTGTATAAAGCTTGGACCACAAACTGTTCAACTGAACGGAGATCCTCGGGGGCCAGATCAGGAGTTTTTCCAAGCTGACTGAGAAGCTTACAGTAGTTTTCTTCCATGTACTGCTTCCACCGTCCTGTTTTCGTGACTGACGCTAACTTAGATGTAGTATCACATCCGGTGATTGCGTGGAAAGCCATCAGGTTTTTGATCTGTTGTGGTGTGAGCTTCTTACATAGTTCGTGGATTGGAATATACTTTCTGTCTCGGAAAGTACCACACATCACCCAGCATTCCTTGCATTTCATTTTTTCAAAGTGATAGATGAATAATAAAATCACATCGGTATCTCTAACAGAAACAACAATAGCCTCTCTTTCGGTTTTTACCGCATGGAGCACCATCCTGGTATCAGCCTCTTCATGGTTTGAGAATAAGTGTTTTAGGTATCTTCCTTTGTTCGACTCGGCATGCGTCTCATCCACAAAACCACCAGCCACAATGACTTCCATGCTGCCAAAGTCATACTTCATGGCTTCTTCGCTCAGGAAGCGCGCGAGGTCAGCCTTGTTTTCTGACAGGGCGAGGAAGCTGCTCCAATTCTTAGGTAAGGGAACTCCCTCGTTCTTGATTACTCTTCGTACAGGAGCAAAACCCTTTCCTCTGTGTTTTCTTGTATCTGCCTTCACAGAAAGATAGCGGTATCGATCAAATACCACATGAACTTCATCATACTGGGAACTGTAGGCTTCAATTCTCTTGTTGAAAGCACATGCAATATCACTGAAGTATTTCCCTGTGAGTGTTCTCACCAGTGCTTGAACGAATGCCATCCCATCTATTATAAGACAAGCAGAATTTTTGTTGATTGCTATTGAACTCGGGCAGTCTATATTTTTAGTTATTTCCTTTACAATGGAGGCCTTTTCAGCTGGTCTTAAGTCGCCATTCATAAGAGCCAACGATATAGGAACATTGCAAAGCTCATGTCTCGGAATAGAATTCAAGTCTACTTTTCTACCTGCATCATAAGCTACTACAAGAGTGTGGAGAAAGTCTCGGCCATCTTTCTTCAATTCTGTGGAACCCGCGGCCGATTTTTCTTTGTGAAGGTATTGTAAAGTTGGTGACTTATTTTTTGGCACGGTTGCATAGTAACTTAATTTTGGCTTTCCAGTTTCAGGGTCCTTTATGAGTCGTTGTGAAACAAACGCATGAACGAGTTCATTTCCACGTTTCTTGGCACAGAGAAGAGCTTCTGATATTTTACTTGTGCCTCTATCTTTCGTAGCGATGTTACATACAACTCCGGATACTTCAGGAGACAGCAGCTCCATTGTTTCCATTGTACGTAGTAAAGCATCTTCATCAGAGATATCTCTCGTGCGACGGGAATTTCCTTCTTCCTTAAAAGTGTCCTTTCTCTGTATGCCATATGAGGCGTAGGTGTTTGCAGCAATCTCACTTCGCCAATGCAGAGACAAAGCCCAACGCTGCAAAGTTCGCACATCTTCAGTTATCCCTACAATACCGCCAGAAACATCTTTGCAAGTGCCAACAAGCCATTCCTGAGCGTGGTCGGGATCAACTTGTGAGAACTTCTGACTGGACATAGCAACTCCGAATTCACCTGAACGAAACTGCGACTCTACCTCGGGGGGTAATTGGTGCATTTCAATGTTGTATGCAGTCATTGACTTCAGATAATTCCCGTGGTCGTACAGAGCTGTGTACGGAATTATTTCCGGAATAGCATAACGGTAACAGTCCCAATCGCCGTCTCGTATTCCCCGAGTCAACATAAGAAGGATGAAGACCATGTCCATATAACTCCACCAAAGTGCAAAATTCTTGTCTTCTTCGCAACGCTGCTTTAAGAAGTCGGTTATGTGGGAAAGAACTTCGGAAGACTGCAGGTAATCTCGAAGATATTCTGGGTTATCAAAAATAGGTCTCAACTCTTCTTCATCTTCAAAGTGGTGGTCCTCGAGGTAAGCAAGAATTTGTGGATAAAGTATTCGCCACAACGCCTGCAAAGTCAGTTTGTGTGCTCGCATAGCCTTTGCATAGGCCTTACCTTCTAGCACTTTTGTAGCTGACCCCTCAGCGAGAATTCCGCTTTCCAACCAAATTTCTGAAAGGCCACTACCAGCCATATGCTGCCCTATTGTGTGGAGAAAGTTCATGGCTATATGGAGGCCACCCATTCTCAGTATGATCCGTTCTTTGAATTCCGGTGAACTCCATCGCAATTCTAACAACTTGCAATAGAGTTGCTGGTCTGCAGTAAGACTAATATACTTGTAGCCTAGACTATTTCCAAGAGCAATACATCTTTGGAGAACAGTGGTGAGAGTTTCTATTTCATGGGCTGGATTCAAAATAATTGGCATGAAACCAACAGCAGAGGGTTCTCGTTCAACAGACGTTTGCTTTTTGTTGAACTCTGTCCATCCAACTTTTTTGTCTGCTTCCATTCTAGATACCAAAAAAGTTATATCCTCTGTTCTGGACTTGAGCACATGATTACTCATTTTAGTGAAGTCCAAAGGATCGTTAGTAGTGAATGATGCAACGTCCACAGGATGCAAAAAGTGTGGCTCTGGTCTGGCGAACGTTCCAACACTACACAACTCGTTCAATTCAGGTGGTACTTGTAAGGTTGTGGACTTCGATAATGTCATAGTGCTGAGAACCTCAGTAGTTTGCTCAGCCTCTCGTTGAAAAGCAACCATTTGCGTCGCATTAAAAACTTTCTTCCCATCAAGACTGTCAAGCATAAGGTTAATATTGTCTGCCGTAACATGGAGGACCGGAACAGTATTATCCCCGAATTCTGACATATGTTTAAAATTTGGTGGAGTCACTGCTCCAGTTTCTTTGTCAAACTTCTGCAGTGTGACAGTTGCCAAACTTGTGTCGGCTTGTAGGACATTGCGGTAGCTGATAATATGTCCAGCAGCATGGAATAGGTTCACTAATTGTTTACTCCGTGTAGCATGATGTAAAGTTAGGCCCAGATTGATGTGTTTGGGGGTGAGTTTTTTTCTTTTACTCACAGCATACACAATATCCTGTGCTATAGAAAGGGCAGCGTTGTTTAACCCACTTCTTTCTGCTTCAGTGATTCCGGCTTCGTCCCTGTCCTCGGCGTCTGCCACATCACCTATCGAATCTAAAACCTCTTCACCTTGTATGAGGACACCCAAAAACAGGTGCAAGGAATCAGGAATTATTTTTACTACAGCACCTTGGGAAATCTCGAAACTACAATGACCCGGCAAGGCCATCAAATCTCCTCTTACTTTCAGAGCACAGTGTACGATAGTACGGAAAAAATCATCAGGCTCGTGCGAAGGTAAATCAAAGTCATCATCCACGTTCGAGGAGTTTTCAGTAGCTGCCTTTTTACCTACTGGTACGGGAATGAGCAACATTTGTCTCTCGTGTACGTCTCTGTTTAAAGGTTGGAAAAACTGGTAAATTCCTCCCAATTCCTCTTCCAGCTTAGTTTTAAAAGAACTTCGCCGAGACTCAAATGAAACTGGGATGTCAACGTCTAAGCTCTTTGCTAGATTGACGTACCTCTGCCATACATCGTCCAATTTCAATATCTAGAAATGAAAATTATTGTGTACAATAGTGTGACGCTACTTTTAAATTTCGATTGTCCTTCACGAACACTGGTACTAACCTTTTCGAGAGAAGCAGCAACTCGAAGTTCCTTACAAAGTTGCCAAAATGGTAGCATGTTTCTCCGGTCCTCATTTTTTGTCGCCGCATCCATCGCATCTTTCACTCTGCCAAGCCTGACAAGACACGTGCTATGATACATGGCATCTGCGGCAATCAAATCACCAACTGCATTCACTTTAATATTCAGCTTGTAGTCATATTTGGAGAGCTCTGTTAGCTTCATGTGCATATTTGTTGACATCACTAAGCGTAGATGCTCTTTAGAGTCTTGCTGGCACACTATACATTTGAGTTTATCAAATTTCAAGGATTTAGATCTTGTTACTTTCTGAGGCATAGCATCTGTTTTGGCCGCCTTGTCCATATTTGAGTCGTTTTTCTGTTGGAGCGTTTCGATATTTCTTCTTGCAGTAAATGTTGCATAACAATTGTTATGAGTCACAAAGTTATTTTCACATGCGGGACCCCGTATATTTTGTAAAATCCTGAGTATAGCACCACTGAATTGACAATCGTGGGCTGTTTTGCGTTGTTCGACACATTCTACCAGCTTGGTTGCACCCTGACTGGACAACTTCGAAAGATGTTTTTGATCATCTTTACCTCTCTTTGTCTGGCAAATAAGGCACGAATTGCTGTTAACTACAGACGGTTCTTCTGAATTGTTGTCGTTCATCCTGAATAAAGTTACATCAAAACCTAAAAAGAAAGCAATATTTTTGCCCTTTAAACATCCATATGGGAACCTAACCTCAAACTCCTGGGCTAGTCATATATTGTCGTATGTGCATCCGTCGAAGTACTATTTTTAATGCCACATGAATATCACTTTGCACCCCTAATCACTTTTTGTACATACCTTGGAGCACTGAAACTTGTAGAAGTATATGGAAATACTGTTTGTTTCATAGCACTATATTCCGGGGAATCACCGGCACCTGACTCACCGCCTTCTCGAAAACGCTGTTGCAGACACTGCATGGCGCCAAATTTTGAACAGATGATGTGTAGAAGAAAGGCAGAAAGGAAACGCTGTGGGAGAATTATGTACGATAGTCGCGCGCCATAGAACATTTTCAGTCAGTTTATTGAACAAACAATCCCCCCATATTATGAAGAGCATTTAAATGTTAGAATTGAATGAACGTTGAATGTACCAAATTATTTTTAGAGGGCGAATACGCATTCAGCGCCCTCCAAAACATATGAAAACATATGGAACACGTTTTCAATTTTTTTTCTCAATTTTGGCCTATTTTGTCAAAATTTGATCATTTGATGAACTTTTGATGCTCCAAATTATTTTTTAAGTGTCTCATCATGTTCCACACCCCCGAAAACATAGAAATCGACATCTCAGTCGTATGACTGACCAAAAGTAGAAAATAATTAGATTTTAGGGTTATTTTGGACGCCATCTTGAATATCCCACTTCCGGTTGGAATTTCGACATGATAAACGGTATTTTCGGATTCAGCGGGGTCGAAACAGGGAGTAAACGTCATTTATCCAATTGTTTCATGAAATGCTTCTAGGATTGTAACGGAGAGCTTTTTTTGGAATCTAGCCCCGACTACAATGGGCGTTACTTCGCAATATCTGTACTTCTCTGTCACACTCATTGGGCATATGGAAGCTAAGAACGCCATTATCTTCGTATTCGTTTGAAATAACCCTGTCAAACCCGCTATCCTAGAACTCGTTATGATAATACTTATTGCCAAATCATGGAATAATGAACATTAAAAAATCAGCAGTTGGGATAATTTCTGGTAAAACTGGAAGTGACAGAACTGATATTTTGTCAATTGATCAGGATCTGATCCCGAATGAATCAGAAATAACAGCACTGGCCGTTTGTTGTGCACATCTCTGTACATCCCAATCAGCACCAGACATCTTAAAGACGTACATTTTACGACTTACTTACGTCTTTACGTCCAGGGACGTATAAAGTATGTCTTTAAGATGTAAATCCATGTACATCTTGAAGACGTACACGAATTTACGTCTTTAAGACGTACATTTTAGGTCGTATCCACGTCGTTCTTCCCATGTCGTATAAAAGACGTCTTAAAGACGTACATTCCAGTACGTCAATTCGACTTATAGAACAATAATGTAAGTTATTTTCTGAAGAAAAACAAAATGTCATCTCTTCACGTTTTTTATTTTCAATTGTTCAGTTTTTTCTTATTTTCAACAAAAGTGATGTTTTTGAATTTTTTCGTCCGACATTTCGGAGCCTTCGTGTTAGATTCTCGAATTTTTACAAAAAAATCATATTCTCCGACCCCAAAAGTCCCATAGTAATCAATTTTCAATAAAATCGGATTATAATCACAAAACTCGTCCGCCATTTTGAAGCCGACATCTTGGATTTTTCATTTTCGACAAAAGGAATTATAATCTCTGATCCCGAAATCCTCCAGATGCCAATTTTAAAACAGATCAGACCATAATCAGAAAACCATATGCCACATTGGATTCACCATCTTGAATATTGAATTTTGATTCGAATCGGAACATAATCAATGAGAAAATCGTCCGCCATATTGGATCCGCCATTCTGTTTTTTCCATTCAATAATAATATCACAACGAATTGTCACCGGAATAATATCTACTTGCCAAATTTCAAATCAATCGGACGATTTAAAGTGAGACAAATTTAACTTGCACGTTTTGATTACAAACAGACACAAGGACATGTTAAACTAAGTAAAAGCTTGTTATGTGATATATAGAACAAACAGAGTAATAGAAGAAGTGAGTATGGTATAATCATCGAAGTCAAGCAACAAAGAGCGCGGTTAGTACTTGAATGGGTGACCGCTTGTGTCTATACCGTTTGATGAAGTCGTTCATTTCCCTTTTTTTTTGCTTGTCTGCACTTGTTGCAAACTTCAGTGCACAGGTGAAAATTAACTGAAACTATGTGATTTTTCCGTAATTCGAAAGATCAATTTGAGGTCATGGACCAAAAAACACCTAAAAAAGGCGTCTTAAAGACGTACATATTAGTGGAAAATGTACGTTTTAAAGACGTCTTAAAGACGTCTCTTGGGCGTAATATGTACGTCTTTAAGACGTACTTATGTCCCGACATGTACGTCTTAAAGACGCCTTTAAGACGTACTTTGGCTGATTGGGATATTAAAAGTATTCTGATTTTTCCAATCATATGGAGGTAGAATTCTCAAATTTCAAGGAAATAGAAAGCTTTCAAAGATACATTCCATGATCGAATGCGATTATTATCAGTGGAATACACTTCTCACCAGTAGCAATGGATTCACTGATATTTCCAAAAGGAGTTTCAGTTCTGAAAAATGTATTCCTCGCCTTACTCCTCATGAAGGCAATCTTGTACATTCGATAATCAGGATGATAAAATTTGCTGAAGCGATAAATTGATGCTATGGAAGGTAAAATCATTTTCCCAGATTTTTTCATATCTTTCTCTCTTCATTTCTATAGATAAAAATCATCAGCAACATGCTTTCTCAGTATGACACTTCTCAAGACAATTTGAAAGAATTACTTTTTCCATTTTTCATGGGATCAGATTCGTTACCGAAATATCAAAGTATAAATTTTCAAGTAATGTGATTCCATATTTTTTCAATATTACTCTTCTTCAACCATTTTCAAAACTGAGTGGCACTGACAACCGAATGAATTTTTCTCTTAGGCTCTCTGATAGAAAATTTTTTGAACGCAGTGATATTATGGGACGAGTCCTGACTACGTGAAATGGCTCATTTTTAATTTTGCCTATGTTTCGCTTAAATATTTTATTCTTTGACAAAATTCGTTGAGAATGCATTGAAATGTACTCACTAGAATTGAAATCACGAGTCCGATCTGGATCAGTAACGGGGATACGGAGGGAAGAAAGTCAAGTTTTTTTCAGTTCTCTAAAGTTGCCGTAAAAAAAAATTCTACTATTTTGAAAATTTCTAAAACCGTATCATCCCGAAGTTAGGTAAACTATCAATACAGATATCTGTTTTTTTTTTTAATTTATAAATTCACTATATGATTTCCATCTTGAACATTAACATAATAAAGCATTGTACTAACATGTTTTAGAACGTATATGCATATTTATCTCAAAAACGGTTCGTTTATCGAAAAAAAGTGAAGAGCAAAAAAAACCTCTAAATTGAACGATCTCCACAATTTGATCACTGAAAGATGCCAGCGGCGTACTACGAAGAAGTTTGGAGGGGATGAAGAAGCCTCTACCTCCAAAAACGTATCACCCTGTAGATTTTGAGAATCTTCAAGATGCTTGAAATGATGATCTTCTAGAAAGTATTGACTACATCAAATTTCATAATGATATCTTGAAAAGTAAGCGAGATATTTCAATTGTTAAAAAAAATAATTAAACTTTGACCCCCTGTAGCTCCGCTACTGAACGAGATCGGACTAATGTTTGTATGAACTTTTGTGATTAATATGATGAGATCTATCTCCCATTCCAGTTCGTGTCTTAAAACCTGAATCACCCTGTATATTCTTTAGCGTTATAGGAATATGACTGGAAAACTTCCCAAACATTTTTCGTCAAATGGGGAGCATGGGACATTTTCTAGATTTACAATAGTGAAATATTCATTTTCAGAATGAAAACACGGCAGCAGAATATGTTGAATTATCGCGAAGATATTCAATGTTCCATTTAGTAAAAAATGTGCTTGTTGCGTTTGTTTCAATCAGTAGTTTGATTCATCAAACAATCGAAAATCATCCCAAACAAACCCTGAACAGCATCTATATGCATTCGGCGGTACTAACACAAATATTCTGTGCATCTAACTGTGATGAAGTTATCTGCTATCTAATTGGATATTTAGTGTATTTACAGAATGCTGTACTGATGAAATACGATTCTGATAGAATACGGTTTTGACGAAATACGGTTTTGACGAAATACGGAACTGACGAAATACGGTTCTGACGAAATACGGTTCTGACGAAATACGGTGATGATGGAATACGGTTCTGATGAAATACAGTTTTGATGAAATATGTTTCTGATAGAATACAGTTCCGATGGAATACGGTTCCGATGAATTACTGAAACTATAAAATACAGTGCCGATGAATTGATGTGACGATGGAATACAGTTCCTATACGATACGATTTTGATGAATTACGATTCTGATGTTTTACTGAAGCGACGAATTACGGTTCTGATAGAATACCCTAACGATAGAATTCGATTATGATAAATTACCGTGATGATGAAATACTGTTCTGATGAATTACTGTTATGATCAAATACGGTTCTTATCGAATACCATTTTGATGGATTACATTTTGACGAATCACGTTTTGTTATAATACATACCTACAAATTACGGAGCTATGTTTTACAAAGCGATGAAAAACGTGCTTACAGAATACAGTAACTATCAATTACGGTACCTACGAATTACCATTCTGATGAAATATATTCTTATAAATTATATTTTGATGCATTATATTCTGACGTTTTGGGTGTTCCCATCTCTGCCTCCACAGGTGGATGTACTGGGTGATCCTGAAGAGAAGCTCGCCCCTCTAAATTCATTGTTTCTACAGAGGAACAAATGAAATTCGGTGTGTTGATAATGTACAGGGTGACCCGAATTCGAGCCTTATCGTTGGGATCTCGGAAAGTATATAGAAGAGATACGATCGGTAAAATTAAAGCGAAGTTGCACAATTTGGTGCTCATTAAAAGGCCGTTTTGCAATTTGAAAAATCCCGAATGTGAATTATCGACACTTGTTCGATCGATATACAGGTTGTTTCATTATATATGCGCAGGGCTTCAGGATGTGATAGCTCGTCCAAAGAGTTCGGTTCATGAACTGCTGCTCTTCAGAATTTGAAAGTTTAGTTTCAATTTGGGTCATTTTCTGGTTCCATAGTCTGAAATAAGTTGAACTTCTTCAAGTCGAGCTTCCATCGAATGGCTTGCCTCC